AGGGAGACTAGCGCAGATAGCCCTCGTGTAGCTTCGCGCGAAATTCAAAAAACAAACAAACTTTTCAGTTCTCTTAATCCTAACCTCTAATAGTGGACTTCTTTTAAGCTCTGACATTAACGTTCTGTCGCAAGAAAGTTCCAGAAAGAGCTTTCTTCTTTAAATGAACCAGTAGGAAGATCATTATTTTATAATGCACGAAAACTCTCAAGTAAAGAATATATTTTGCCACTTTAACTCAAAAGCCATATAACGTACAATTTTATACTTTTCCACTAAATTTATACTTAGTATTCCTACTTAAATAGCTGGATTTTTAAGGCCTCAAAAGTTGGGTTTGCCCCGGGATCTACAAACTTTTCCAAGGACCATCAGCGGTCAGCAGACAATAGTTTCGGAACCTCTGTATTACACTATCCTATAATGCAGTGTACTACAAAATAGTACGAATGTAAGCAAACAATCGTATCTTCAATGATGCAATCTGTCTTTAATTTTCACTATATTCTACATTGTATATAATATAACGTTTTTGAAAGCTAACAGAAAACAAAATGCATCTTATTTATTAACCCTTCGCAATCTGTGGTCGTGAGGGCGTTATAATGTGACGGTCAATCCTACTATTAGATGATAAAATATTAGCTCAAGAGTTGGCGGTGGGAAGTGCTGACTAGTTGTCTTCCCTCTAATCTATTACTGCTAAATTAGGAACGGCTAGCGCAGTTAACCTTCGAGTAGCTTTGCGCGAAATTCAAAAACAAAGAAACAGTAAGCCTTTTTTTTTCATTACGATATTTATCCTAACTAGCGTGGGGTCGGCCGGTATATTTTTATAAAACAAGAAATTTTACATCTGGGCGGTTGGTCCAGTCAGCAACCATATTGGACGAGCATGTTTAGTAACGGGGATTCGAATTCGCGGCCCTCAGATTTGGAATCGAGCGCTCTAACCATCAGGCCCGACTAGACTAAACCCGATTAATTAATCTTTTATGCATAAACAATCATCCTAGCTTCAACTTGCAAAGTGATATTTTCCCTTTTCATCGGTGACTGGGATTGAGCAGACGATGCAAAGCAGTTAGGGAATATTGTTTGAATGAGATTATATCCGGTATTAATTTACCAGACTTTTTTTTCATTCAGAGCCATGGGTTCCCTTAGAAATTTATCCGAGCGCTCCGTTTTCCCAGAGGGCATGGAAAAGGTAATAACATAGTTTCCTGTTAAAATACTAGGGGACTTCTTGGATAAAAATGTATTACTGAATAGTGTGTAACAAGTTAAAGTTTACAATATTAATATCTATGTATAAGCAATATTTTGTTTATTGGTTGTTTTGTACAATGATACACAATGGGCTAACTATGCTCTACTCATGCGAGCATTGAAATCTGATTTTTAACGTTCTAAGCCCTCAGGGTTACCGATGAGCTACTGGAGGACATAAGTAATGTCAGTAACCAACTTTTACACAATAAGCTTCCATAGCAAGCTCCAATTTTTACAGGTTTTTACGTATTAGATGTATATCCCATGTGGTTTTAAGAAAATTAGTAGGCTAAAACACCCGAAAGATATTAAAATAGTATTTTCCCTCTTTGATTTGTTTGTAGTTAAGCACAAAGCTGCACAATGGGCTGTCTGTGCTGTGCCCACCACGGGTATCGAAACCCGTATTTTTAGCGTTATAAGCGTTCAGACTTACTGCTGAGTCACTGGAAACTTACCAGTGGTGGATCCAGGATTTTGAAAACGGGGAGGCGCGATGATTCTGGACGTAAACGAGGAATTTTCGGGACTTCCCTGGTAAGAGTTAAATGGGTTATTTAGATTTGTTATAATGTTTGCTAGGTGTTGCTGTTATTGCTTTTTTAAAAATTTAATATGAAATTTCACTACATTCTTCCCTCCTCAAAGATCCAATTTTTGCAATAATTTTTATTTTATTTTCAAAACAGGGGCGCGTGCCCAGCCTCTATTCGCTCCTGCTTACCTCTTTAGATAGCTCTCTAAAAGGTAAGTTAAAAGGGAATGAAACTGATATCAGCTTAATGAAGTACTTTAATAAACCTTAACTGCTTTTAATATCAAGTCGCTTTTCGCCAGCAAATTTCTATATTAATCGTAAATTATGTTTCTGAAGAAAGTAATTTTCTTTAAAAATATTCATACTTAAAAGAGTAACAATAAACAAATAATAACAATAAACTTTGTTAATATACAATGTTACAGAGGGCGTATTGTCACTGAAGGTCTTAATCCGGGTTCCGGGTGCATCTCTTAGATTAGGATCGAAGAAGAGAAGTTGTTGAAGACATTTATTAAAACTCAAACTGTTCTTGGATTTCTTACATATTCTGTTTGTTTGTTGAATTGCTGTAGGATATATCGATGTAAGTAGACGTATGGATATTTAGTTGAAATTATTAATAATATGTAACAAAGTTTTTTACGTTTTAAACATTAGTTTTCCGTATTTGGTTGTGTCACACTCACAGACTGTCGCACTATCACAATTACTGCAGTGTTTATTACTTTTAGTATTACTGGTAATGGTATTACTAGTAGTGTGAACAGTTAATGTTAAATTTTACTTATTAAGTTCTATCTGTGGAATTGTTTATTGACTTCCAAGCACTATAGTCAATATATAGATATCGGTTTAGATAAATTAACCTTTAGTTTAACTTAAGTTAAACCTAAAAGTTGTTATGAATTATAAATTATTTTTTGAATTTAATTGTTAACAGTTATATTGTACCTTGTGATTGAAAATAGTAACTGTAACTCACAGTCACATTATAAGTTTCAGAAGTTCAGATTAGGATAAAAATAGTTTAACTCCTAAGGAGAAAATATTTATTTCAAATACATTAAAAATAAAATTGTAATTTTCATTATGTAATATGAAATTGTTGACCAAATTTATCATAAACTAGGATTAATAAAACTTCTTGATTTAGAAACTGCAATCTTGAAAGTTGAATGGGCACAAAATTATAAATTTAAGAGATTAGTTTATTAGACCTTTCAGCTCACATATTTTGCTTCTGACACATGGATTTCACATTTTGGCATATACACTTCACTTTAATGAAATCACTTGTATGTTAAAATATCAAATTTTATGCTTAAAAACGTTTAATGATTTTTTGTGCGTGTTGGAAAGTCATCAACTAATATTAGGCATAATCCTGTAGCTACTGTAAGTTATTATATATTTATATAAACATATGTGAACAGTGTTACCTGAATGCTAATTGATAATATATTACTTCCAAGAATTTCTAGCCACATTAACTGGTAGTGTATATATACATCATCAGTTTGTATGTATGATACTGTCTTATTATTTTGTGATCAGCTGGGAGTGAAAATGCTAATTAAACTAGATATACAAGTTCAATGTGTTTGAACTCTCATCATGATAATGCTTACAAAATTTCGTGTTTTATTAAACATTCAGAAAACAGTTCTCATCACAAAATAAATAGTAATACATGTACATGCTCATCTATGGCAGAAGTTTAAAGTGCATGTAGTTTTATTTTTGTATTAATTGGTTGTTGGTTGCTAAATGAATATTATATATATATATATGTGTTATTGTTTTGTCAGTTATTATAACTTATATACATGATACATTTAAAGTACTCTAGATGTGTTACTATCTGTGTAATCTTTAAATAAACAAATGAAACCTTCAGTCACCATTTTTGTGAAATACTGACTGAAACAGTAAATACTTCATTTTACATGTTGATTTTGTAATCTATACAAAGTGGGAAAATTCACTTTCATAATTCTGTTATACCATAATCATTATAACCACAGTATAGAAGATGGGTTAAAATTAAAAAAAACTTTTTTAATTATTACAATCAATATTTAAACAAACACAAAGAACCATCAAACATATAGTATACAACTTACCAAAAGCTTTCCAAGTTGAAAAATCTGTAAGATAAATTTCAAGTGTTTGTGTGATAGCTATAACTTTGTAGAGCTTGAAGCCCGCATAGTGTTATTTATATTATTTAACAAGTAATAAATTGTTCCTATCACTAACCCTAAAAGCAGCTTCACGCTATTGTGTCTAAGGTTTCATGACCATTCTCACAAGTCAGAGTTTTACAGCAAGTTGACTTAAATATTACAGCTTATACATGGACATAGTGTTGTTGAGTTGATAAAAATACAGCAATTTTTTTTTCAAAGGATATCTTCTCGAGCAAAATTTGACTCGTAAAGTAAATATAATGAAAAAAAAATTACAAAAGTTAAAAAAAATGTTTCTTCAAGATTCTTTGATAAGTATACACACAGTATTAATTATAATGCTGTAAAAGTTTCCTTCTTTTAGAAAAACATGTATTGGTACTTCCCAGATTTTAAATTTAAGTTAGCTGTTTTGAAACATTAAATAATTAATGGTATTCAAACAGTAGTAGTGAGAAGAAAGTCTGTTACTACTGTGGTAATCTATAGAATAAGCATTTGATGGGATGTGTTTTTGTTAATTTTATGAATAGTAACTTCCTTATTATTTATATTCTAATTTATACTGATCTCCATACGTATTTTATATCAAAACTAATTTTTTGTAGGAGAAGTATAAGAATTAATGGTATAATGCATTTGATACTTTGTACTGTTGTCAATAAAATAATTTATTGTACAAGTCATGCTGGTGATGGTTTCTTTTTTAATGAGACCACATCCTCTCTGAAACTTCCTAATGTTTATTTTACAGATGCCAACAGGTCAAGAACAGAAATGGCAGAGAGATGCTGCTGACCAGAACTTTGATTACATGTTCAAGATTTTGATAATAGGAAATAGCAGTGTAGGAAAGACGTCATTTCTTTTCAGATACGCAGATGATTCCTTTACGTCTGCTTTTGTCAGCACCGTTGGAATTGACTTTAAGGTGAAGACTGTTTTCAGACAGGACAAAAGAGTAAAACTTCAGATATGGGTAAGACGTGTGTTATTTTATTCTTCAGTTACATATCAGTTACAGTTATGTACCAGCACTGGAAAACTTTATGATAAATTATTAAACTTTAAATCAATTACCTACCAGCACTGGAGAACTTTATATTAAAATTTAAATCAATTACCTACCAGCACTGGAGAACTTTATGATAAAATATTAAAATTTAAATCAGATACTTGCCAGCACTGGAGAATGTTATGATAAAATATTAAACTTTAAATCAGTTACCTACCAACACTGGAGAACTTTATGATAAAATTTTAAACTTTAAATCACTTACCTACCAACACTGGAGAACTGTGATAAAATTTTAAACTGTAAATCAGTTACCTACCAACACTGGAGAACATTATGATAAAATATTAAAATTTAAATCAGTTACCTACCAGCACTGGAGAACTTTATGATAAAATATTAAACTTTAAATCAGTTACCTACCAACACTGGAGAACTTTATGATAAAATATTAAACTTTAAATCAGTTACCTACCAGCACTGGAGAACTTTATGATAAAATATTAAACTTTAAATCAGTTACCTACCAACACTGGAGAACTTTATGATAAAATATTAAACTTTAAATCAGTTACCTACCAGCACTAGAGAAGCATGTATAAAATAATAAGTGAACCATGGAAACTTGTTAAACACATCTAATAAAAAGTGACAGAAATGAGCAACCATGCTTGAAACATTGTCCACATGCTTTATGTATATTTTGTAATTAGTATGTATTCACTGAAAGATGTTGGAAAATATCATGAAAGTTTATTTAAGATGCACATAAGGATTGTTGGCTGTCAAGAGTAAATAGATCACAATATATATTTGTAAGATTATATTTAAGTATGATTGATGAAAATCCTAGACATGAAATTTGGCTGGTGATAAGAAGACTTGTATACTTTTTCTTCCTCAAAGTAAAATATATCAGTGAATCATAAATTACATTATTGTATTATGCCTGAGTATTGGTATAGCTTTTCTGATTTAGGGTATTACTTTCATTATTTGTTAATTTATTGTATTTCTAGGATACAGCAGGACAGGAACGTTATCGAACAATAACTACAGCATATTATCGAGGAGCTATGGGCTTCATACTCATGTATGATGTTACTAATGAGGAATCGTTTAATAGTGTCCAAGACTGGTAAGTATGTTAAATCATAATTTCTTACTAAATTTTGAAACTCTTTAGTCTCTAATATTGGTATGTGTAGTATCAGTCAGGAACATTTTAAAAGTATCTTGAATTCTTATGTTAAGTATAGGGATGCACAGGTACCCGGCCGGTTATTGGGCTACCCGGTAATACTCAGCTCCGGCTGAGGATCAAAGTTTAAAACAGCTGAAGCTGGGTAATAGAAAATGGCATCTAAGCCCTAATCTTTGTGGCAACTTACACAGTACTGACAGTTACAGTCAATAATTGGTTTAGTTAAAAAACGTGTTCCGAGCAACAAAGACTGACCGCCCACTGAAAGTTGGGGATTCAGAGAACAATAGGGGTTAATAACAGGCATGGCTTGAGAAGTGGGTTTCTGGGGAAGGTTGGGGTTTGAGAAGTTGGAGCTAGGCATTAATCTGAATAATGATTGTAAAACATTTCAATATGACTGTTTCTGTGTTTACTTTCACTGGCCTCACTTTTGGAAGTCAAATGAAGCTTGATTTCTCACAATGGCCAGGATAGCAAGGCATTATCTCTCCACACCTCTGACCAGTGTAGACAGCTAACAGGCTTTTAGTGCTGCTGGCAACATTATCACACACACAAAAGGTCAAAGCTTTTACCCGTAAAATTTGGTCAAATACTGGATCCGTTTTGGCCGGGGATGGGTGTCAACTGGGACCGGGTCCCTCCCCCAAATAAACAACATACACAAAAATTACAAACAAAAACAAAATTGACATTTATTACATTTAACTGAATAATCACCAATAGAACATTCCAGTTTTACTTTAAACTTTCAAAATTAACTAACAAAAATGTGCACACCAGTTTGCAGAGTGCCTGTGTTTTTGGAATTTGTTTAAATTCTACTTGAAGAACAGTAGCATTTTGGCATTTTATACCTGTGCATCCCTAGTTTAATACTATCTTATGTTTGCCATACATTAGCTATTCTCTTAGTTATGTGCCAAAATATTGACCATCTAATAGTTTTTTTTCACTTCTCTACTTCCTCCCCTCCAATTGCATGACTTGCAAATTCCTGTAAATGTTTCTAAGTTGATATAAATTGCCAAAAGTGTTATGGCCTTTAGAGAAGATCTGATCCTGTCATTATCAGCCATATACACTTGCTGTTCCAGAATTTTTCATGTGGTGCTTCTGGAGAACTTACTTTTTTATTTTCTCATGATCCTGAGCTGTGATGATCTTTCTTTGGTCTAATTTAGTCAGCTCTTTTTAGGGTTTGTCACTTTCTCAGTTATTTTGCTTTACATTTAATCAAATTGGGCCCTTCATTTTTTTTCTGCTCCTTAAGTCTTCTGGTTTCTATGAAGACTTTCAGGTTAGTGCAACTGCCATTTTTTGTTGAGATCTTCAAGTCATTGCTGCTGTTGGTTTCTGTGAAGACTTTTAGATGAGTGTTACTGCTGGTTCTTGTGAGGACCTTTGGGTGAGTGCAGCTGGTGGTTCCTGTGAAGACTTTTAGATGAGTGTTACTGCTGGTTCTTTTGAAGACTTTTAGATGAGTGTTACTGCTGGTTCTTGTGAAGACTTTTAGATGAGTGTTACTGCTGGTTCTTGTGAAGACTTTTAGATGAGTGTTACTGCTGGTTCTTGTGAAGACTTTTAGATGAGTGTTACTGCTGGTTCTTGTGAGGACCTTTGGATGAGTGCAGCTGCTGGTTCCTGTGAGGACTTTAAGATGAGTGCAGCTGGTGGTTCCTGTGAGGACCTTTGGATGAATGCAACTACTGTTTTTTTAAACCTTTAGATGAGTTTACCTGTTGGTTTCTGTGAGGACTTTTGGATCTATGCAGTTGCTTCTACCCTGATGTTTTATTGGATACTTCTGTGGTTTTACTCCAACTTAGATACTTGCTCTGAGCTAATCCAACATGAGGACAATGAATTAGCTGTCAATTGGATTGTTATAATGTCCAAATGATTGGGAAAGATTCACAAAAGATGCCTCTCCCTCCACTTGTATGTAAGAATGATAGGTAGCTCCATGTTTATGGTAGATAGAACATATTAATATGGTTGTTACCTAGCTTAGTTTTGTAACTAGATTCTCATTATTATACGTTAAAACAAGTAGAGCTGGGTGACTATTGGTATTTGCAAATCAATTAACTAATAACTCCAAGAAACAATTGGTAAAGTGTTCCTTAAACTGTGGTATGTAGCACAAGCAAATTAAAAATACAATATTTAAGGCAGGTGTTGCCAGACACCTTCCCTGTAGTCAGCATCTCAAGATTAGTGACAACGGCAGATAGCCTTACTAGCTTTATCATAACAAGCGAGTAAGTTTAATGACAATAGGAATTCAACGAAAGACCCAACTCACCGAAACTGAACAAATTTGAAGTGCAAAAAAAACAACATATAAATTAGGCAGAACACACATAGCCTATTATCTAGCTTTGTTTTTAACAACAAACATAATATCAATATTTTAATCATGATTAATTTACAGAACTCTAATTGATGTTTATTACTACTTATGGGTAACTTAAATCGCTCAGCTCTTCAAACAAGTGGTTCTGTTAAGCCTACTTTTTTTTATAGTACCTATTATACTAAAGTCATTCATTATTTGGAATAGAGTATTACACTTAATTCAATGAATTATAAGTAAGTAGAATTGAATCAGTGTCATAATCAACCAGTGTAAATATTGTATGGCATTTTCTGTTGGCCAGCCTGCCCAGTATTTCAACAAAGTAACCAAAGATAGGAATACATAAAATACAGATGTACTGCCATGAAACATGTAAACACCAACAGCTAACTACAGCTGTTCTCTAAACATATTTCACTCTGACTCCCTCTTTATTAAAGCTGAGAATGGCATAACATTACTGTTATGTTTAGGGTTAGTTTGACCCAACACTGACTTCTCTAATGCTATTGTGGAATTAAGTATATCTTTAACACTATTATAATGACAGTTCACAATAATTTCTGATACTTAACATAAAAAGAGTAAAGGATCACTAAACATAAAATATTTTATCAATTGAAGGATGTTTTAATTTGTTGCAATGAATTTTACTTCAATTAAGATCAAACATAAAAAAAATCTAAAATAAATTCAAATCAAAATCTCTACTTATGTAGGTTATAACTCTGGATCAGTGTGTTTACACTATGGATAGTTGTTACTTCACAGCACAATATTTCTCTTTCCCTGTTTTAGAAGCATCCAGCCTCTGGTAACATTAAACTTAATAAATATTGTGTGTAGGAAACCACACAAATGTTTACAGTAACATAGTCTGAAAGGAACAACACAAGTCTTTACAGTAACATAGTCTGGAAGGAACCACACAAATCTTTACAGTAACATAGCTTGGAGTGAACTAAGTTTTTACAATAACATACTCTGGAAGGAACAACACAAGTCTTCACATCAACATAGTCTGGAAGGAAAAACACAAGTCTTCACAGTAACATAGTCTGGAAGGAACCACACAAG